AGGCACCTGACTACAGGAGCTCCTCCAGGAAAGGAGGACTGTGGCCTACACATCCAATAGAGGTGCGCTTCCATTCTATCCCCTACACATCCAATAGAGGTGCCTTCCATTCCATCCTCTACACATCCAATAGAGGTGCGCTTCCATTCCATCCCCTACACATCCAATAGAGGTGCGCTTCCATTCTATCCGCAGCCTTCCAGTTATTCATAGGATAAAAGGGTAGACTAGTGAATCTACTCTGAAAAGAAAAATGGTAGGATACAGATATAATAAAATTAAGAGGAAGATTATTGAATTTACTTTTAAAAAGCAACTACTAGTTTTAAATGTTTTACATGGGATTTGGACTTTTGTACATTGAATAAAATTTTTTATATTGAGCTTAATTTTGTTAGAACATACTGTACATATACATTTCTACTCTTGTTCAAGGTATTGTACCAATAAAAATCACTTAGCAATGTAATGTAATTTCTAGTACTTGAAATTATTATTATGAACTGTTTAGGATAATAAGGAAATTGCAGGTTAGTATTTAATCACTTATTATAATCAAACTTGTAGTCACATTAGATATGTTTTCAAGATAAAGCAAAGATATATTTTAGATAGACAGGTCATCTTGAAACACTTCAGAGATCTACAGATTATGGCATTTAAGATATTTTAATAACCTAGGATCTTCTTTTTTGACAATGAGACATGTCTGCTCCCTGCAGCACCAATCCACTTCAGAGAAGATAACAGGCATTGAAGAAACTTAACACGGAGTTTACTTTCTTTGTGACAAAAGTAAGTTGCTAGGCAATCAAATGCCCTTGCCTTGACTGCTGACAGTATGCTGTCCTAATTGGACAAGCAGGACACAAAAGATAGTGACTGGCAAACATTGTCAAGACAAGGAGGGACAGCCCTTGAGAATATCCTGCTTCCCAGAAAAGTCTGTTGGATAAGCTAGGCCTGGAGGCTGAATATGGATGCCCCCAACATTGCAGAGGAACTGTGGGTGACTGTCCAGGCAGCCAGCTGTTTGTCATTTCTCACATTTTTTGGAAGTTGCTTGTTTGCTCTTCCTGCTTACTCAGTTAATATTATTTCCTTCTTGGGTCTCAGAGGGAGTTGAAGACCAGATAGTTATAGTTTTCCTTGTTTACCAGATGCAGAAAGCAAGTATGATAGAAAGTAAATCAGGTACAAGACTTTGGACTCATAAAGAGAGGACAGACATGTAGTATTTTCTTTGAATATGTCAAATGTAACTGGGCTGGACATTGTAGATGTATTTATTGCCTGTATGTATTATAGACAACTATAGTAATTATTGTGTATAGTTTTTCCTAGTTATAGTCATTTTATTTTAGACAAAAAAGGAGAAATATAGTGATATTTTATGTTTTAATAAATAAAGCCTGCCTAAAGATCAGAAGGGCAAAGTTAAACCACTAGAGGTCAGGTAGTAGTGGCACACACCTTTAATCCCAGGATTTGGGAGTCAGATCTCTGTGAGTTCAATGCCACCCTGGGCTACACAAAGTCAATACAGAAACAGATCCAGGTGGTGGTGGCTCACTGATGGGGAATCTTTGTCAGCCAATGATCTTTAAGGGGTGGGATGAGGTTAAGATGTGACTTTTGGGTAACAGGAGAAAACGCCAGGAAGCCCAAAGTTCGT